GCAGCGCTGTCCAACTGGCGGCCCGCGGGCCGTATACGGCCCACCAAATAATTTTCACGGCCCGCGAGTACATTTTACTACGAATAAATTTATGTTACTAAATTATTATTATTAATATTAAAATTATTTTACTACCGTGTTTCCCCGAAAATAAGACAGTGTCTTATATTAATTTTTGCTCTGAAAAATGCGCTAGATCTTATTTTCAGGGAATGTCTTATTTTTTCCAGGAAGAAGAATTCACATTTATTATTGAACAAAAAAATTCCCAAGTCGAACTTAGACAAGAGTGACATATATCCGGTGTATCAAACTGTTGCCTTTTTATAGCATCAACATCGGACTCGCTGACCAATTAGTGCTTATTGAACCGTAGCACTATGCAAATGTCATGTGGCGTGATTCCCGGCCGACCAATTAGCCATCACCAACCTTCTTGGCCCCCGAAATGTTTGGTGAAGAAAATATGGCCCGCGGGCTATGATAAGTTGGACAGCACTGGTCTAGGGTCCAAACCAATCTTTAATAAGAAAATATTTTCCCTCCCTGTACAACACTGTACATGGGGTTCCTAATTCAAATTTGCTTAGACCCCAAAAACTTATAATGTGCTACTGATCACATTCTTGATTTACACGAACTGCTATCTTTGATAACCAGATGGCCGAGTAGTTAGGGTGGTGGCCTATTCCTCTGGGGAACCTGGAACTGAATCTGGACAGGTTGAAAAATCCCAGGAATTTTTGGAGTATAGTTTATTTAGATATGTTTGGCCCCATCCCTTATCATCTGGTCACCCTACTGTGGACCACAGTGCAGAAAGAGTTGAGAAAAGGAAAGTATACCTTTGCCAAAGAACTTCATCCTGTGCCAATTCTCTCCACACACATGATGCCAGACATAAATCAGTTGCATTAAGATGAGATAATACAGTTAAACTTAGTTCTGGTGGCCACGTTGCTAAATCTGGAAATCCTAAAAAAGAAATTAATATAAATAATACATAAATTCCTAAAATTCATACTTAATTTTTGTCTCAAATATAAATTGAAAAATATACTACTATCTTTTCTATATTGTAAAAATTAATAAAATACAGACATACTTATAAGCGTGTTAAACAAATTAATTGTTAACTTTCCACAATTTTCTGCTAGTTAAGATTGTTTCTACAATCATCTAAGAGCAAGAAATAATAATAAACAGTATCATTATCGCAGCAGTATGATAAATACAATATTAAATTAATACAGTAGAACCCTGATTATCCGAGGCAAATCTGCAAGTGAACGTGCAACTTTTCTTATACAACAATTCATAAAAGAAAGTTTAAAATCATATTCATATTAAAGTGTTACTACAATAATAGACATTTTTATTCTTAAAACATACTATATATATATTAGATGTATAATAAATGATGTAAAAATTATTGTTCTTATATATAATTAAATTCACAATAGTGTTATCCAAGTTTTCAGTTATCTGAGGTACCATTATTCCACATTGTCTTGGATAATTAGGGTTCTATTGTACATAAAAAAGCATCAATTTAAAGATTTTTATGAATTATTTTTTAAGTCTGAAATTTATGTAGTTTAAAGATTTTTCAAAAATCTATCACTCCATATTTTTATTGGATTTTCACGTTTTAAAGATCAAGATTCATTCAGAATGTCTTCAACATATCTTTATTGAATATCTTCGATTTAATTCTGTCTCAATTGTCCTGAGAATATTTTCTTCCATCTGTAGGCAGAATGCCTGACCTATTATCAAATATAGCCTCATCTTAGTATCACCATACATTACAACTGATCATTATTCTTTCTACTGATCACTGGATGTTAGAACTTTTATCTTCTATGTACATAGTTGGACATTGTTACTTCCATACTTAGTCAGCTTGTGTTTTCTCTATAATTAAAAGATAAGGAAAAGCATCAAAATTTCAAGAGTTTTTTTTTGCCACAGTTTTTGTTGGGTATCTCATTATAATATTATGCAATTCAAATTGTCTTTCCAAAAATAAAACCTCAACTTATAGCACTAAATCTAGAGTTCAACATACATTGGCTCATTTAATGTTTGTTTTTAAGCAGAAGTGTCATTACAGCATTATAAATTATCATTACTACATATTCTTTCAAGCATATTTTGTAATCCATAAGGTTAAAATGTCTTCTTGAATACATATTCCATTTTTAATGCTGCTTAAGTTATTTAGCATTCTTAATAAAGCAATTTTTCAGTATTGCTAAGCTGAACAAAATACGACTTGATCTTTTAACAGTGTAAAAGGATTTTTATCTAATTTGCAAAATTCGGTTTATTTAATAAATGATTTATTTACTGAATTAATATCGAGCAACTATAACCCTTTAACTTTTTATAAATAAACACAACACACTCTTATTTTATGATTTACATAGTAGAAAATTTCCTATTATAACTTTTTTCAGTCATTTCTATGTAGTATTATACAGCTAAAATTGTATTTCTAAGAGCATAAACTTAACTTGTGATGCTACATTTATAAAAAATAGAATAGCTTGCTTTAAAATAGTTTTCTAGAAACAAAATAGAAAACACAAACACTATAACTAAATATATAGTAAATATATTGCCATAATTTTTGATGATCATAAAGCTGTAACAACCTGAAAATAAGAAAATATTTTATTTTATATTTTTTGGTGTCTCTTCTTCAAACTTAATTTGATTATACAGCTGGACGTCAACTTTTGAATATAATATGTTTGTAATAATACACACAAAAGTCAAAAACAGAGTTGCATGTTATAAAAAAAGTTCTGTTCTGAAAGAACAAACAAACAAAAATTAACCAGCAATGAGTTGCTCAACTTTCTCGGCAACATTTAAAATTTTTGTGGTGCCATCCGTTATCATATTTTATTAAAAAAACTTTTTATATTTTTAACTATTATAAAACAGCAAAAAGCTTAATTTGGGAATAGGATGAGTTTTATAAAAAAATTGTAAATGCTAATAACGAGTCGTCGTTAAGTTCGATCCTATTGGAGATGCACATGACCCCATTATCTCCCCACCCCTCGACCTTTAACCACCAAAATTTAATAGCATCAATCCCCCTAATAAACAAACCTCCCTGCAAAATTTCAGAAATTTTCGACAAAAAGTACAGGAGTTATTAACCTTCAAACAGGGTGAACAAAATTGTATCCCCCCACACACTAGCATCCATACATACAAAAATTCCCCCAAATTATTTTTGCATTTCTTGACGTTTTAAGGTGTCCAAGTCCAAACATGTAAAAATCTGGGATGTCATTTTTTGCCAGATTGCCATACTTTCCCTCTGTTATAACAGCCAGGAAAGTAAAAATAAATAAAATCTCTAATTAAAATATGAAAGTTTTCATTTTAAGTAGTAAAAGCAAAAAGTATTTAAAATGCTAAAACTGAAAATTAAACATTAAACAGATAGTAAAAGTTAATTTTTAAAAATGATTTTATGTTACTGAAATCAAAACTAGCAGAAACTGATATGGCATAATAGCTTGTAATTTTTGTTTGTCAACTGAAGAAATATACAAAATTGAAAATTTGGCAAGTTAATAGTACAGATATGCAGCCCATCAATAGCACTGCTTAATGATGGGCAGCATATACAATGGAAATTCCATACAGGAGTTGAAAAATTTGCAGTAGTAGTAGCAGCCTGTACTGTCTCTATGTTTGGTTATGTTTAAACACATAAATATAAACCATAGATAACAATTGTACACTTAGAAAAACCATAAAGATCTGTCTCCATAACATTTGTTTAGGGGCTGTCCATAAATTATGTCTGCATTTTTCCAGAAATTTCCCCCCTCTTCGGATGTCCAACAAAACTTGATATCCTTTAAAACCTTTATCACTTTATGAATGATTGATAACATAAGTAGAAACAAAACATACAAGAAATTTTGAAATACAGTTGACTCCCCTATAACACTGTTGATTATTCCGTTTTATATGAATTCCATGTTGTACGAGTCACTTAGGTTTTACAAATACATGTGCCGGGCTGTGAATGGTCACGTATTTGTAAAATCTAAGTGACTCGTACAACATGGAATTCATATAAAACGGAATAATCAACAGTGTTATGGGGGGTCGACTGTAAATATAATAAAATACATAAACTGTATAAAATTTAATAAAATAAACGGACATCCACTGGAGCTCAACCCCTCCCCTTGTCCGACTTTGTCTGATTTGTTGTAATTCCTTCCCTCCCTTCCAGTGTGGACATCATTTATGGACACTCTCTTAATGACATATTTCTTGAAGCATATCCTCATCATTAAATGGCATATACCTGTATTAATCATATATGAAAAAGCATGATATCTGAAAGTTGAAGACCATCTGTACATTATCAAATTTAAATTTTAAAATATGATCATCTAAGTTTTAATCACTTCAGGTTTCTGATAACAAACAAATTCGTTATATCATTATTTTTTCTTTAATAGAATTTCAAAATTATAATGACTTCTATTGTTATTCTATGATACTGATATAATCTATAACATTGCAAAATTTTTATCAATAAAGTTTTTCCTCTATATCTTATCTTTCAATATCACTAAAATGTAAAATCATTGAATAGATAATATATACTCTATATTAATTAGAATATAGAAAAATTTATAAAATAATCATTGTAATCATTAATTATAAATCTGAAACCTTAATTTATTATTAAAAAAAATTCCTAAAATGTAAATATGATGCAATTCCCTCTTTGTTTTATCAAATGTATTCATAACATATTTAATAATTTCACAATTTGTTGATACTGAAAGATAATACATAAATTAGTAAAAATCACATTTAAAAAAAATTATACTATTCAAGTCTACAATACTGTTCACTTAATAATACAATCTAAATTTTTGTGTGACTCCTTACAACAAACTGATAAAGGAAAAAAGTTATAGCATGTCTTGTTGCAGCATAAAAAAGAATAAAGCCAAACAATTGTCAAATTATAATGGCTATATTACTACTACCATTATTAATTAAATGATAAGTAATTTGATACTAGTGCCAGATGTTAAGCATCATCCCTTGCTAAATTTAATAATTTTNATATATTTGAGTTAGGAATATCTAGAAATGACTTACTTCTACAGTAAACCAAAACAGTGCTTATTTCCAAATATTTCCACTAACGTTTTCGAACTTAGTTCTTCTTCAGGTGAAACGGGTAGAATCAATGTTATTCGAAATCTGAACGCAATGTTCTAAGGAAACTCGTGCAATCATCGTGTTAAACTTGCGCATGCTCAGTAGATAGAAGGATTGCTTTTGGCTTCTCAAGTGTCATAAATAAGAGTTTGCCATGCCATCGACAAGGACAGTTCATCTTTATTGTTTATACAGTTGTCTTCTCTTGCTGTTTTATAGATATATATCGCTTCCATCCAGCGCAAATGGTGTATTAGCTGTGTGGTGTAAATTACCTTTGCCTCGTCAAATACAGCTTGTATTTGACGAGGCAAAGGAGGGTCCGTGGCAAATTGTGCTAATGCTGTTGAATATCTTTTATGTAGGATGTCCGCTTTGTGTTCTTTGATCCTCACCTCCAACGATCTTTTTGTCGATCCCATGTATATTAAACTTTTATCACACCTATGATCTTTTATAGGGATCCTGCATACTCCTGCTAATTAGTTTTGATGTGGAGTGTCTTTTGCATTATTTAGCATTCTAAATACATCTTCTAAATATTAAGGAGGCTTGTTTTCTTTTGGCGATCTCTTTGTAGATTTTCTCTAAGTACGGATTGTAAGTGACTAGGATTCTGTCTTTCTGATTGTTACTTTGTTGCCCTTGCAGTTCTGTTAGATCTGTTCTTCGTGAATGCATCAGTTTTTTGATCCTCATGGCTATCCTACTATTATATCCATGTCTTTTGGCCATGATATTAATGGTGTTGATCTCTGTATCCAGTGCCCGCGTTGTCGATGAGTGGGTGTATGCTCTATTCACCAAGTTATTAAAGGCCGCTATCTTATACTGCCATGGGTCACATGAATGCGCAGGGATATACAATTGATCTGCCTGAGGTTTTCTGTATACCTCTGTGTTGATAGACCTTCCTTTAACTATGATGTTCACGTCGAGAAAATGAATTTGTTTGTCGCTCTCCTGTTCGAGGCCCACAGTTAAGCCATAAGAGTTATTATTAAATGCCGCTATGACTGCCGTTATGTCAGGTTTAGATTTCCATAAAATGATTATATCATCCACATATCTTTTGTATGTAATAATATTGTGGAGTAGGTCGGGCAGTACTTTCTGTTCTAGGAGTCTAATTACCAGTTCGCATAGATCTCCTGCTATCAGGCTCCCCATTGGTACACCTCTTTTCTGTTGATATACCTCGTTTTTGAATTGAAATAAAGAATTGTAGCACAATAAATGCGCTAACTCTAGTATATCTTGATGGTGGTTACTGTCCCCTATTATACTTATTAGCAAATCTCTTAATGCACAGAAGGCTGGTGGAAGGAGTAAAGAAGGGTATAATGATTTAAAATCTAGCACAGTGAGTTACTGTGGGGGTGGTATTAATCCGCTTGAGTAGAGCTAATGGTCCGAAATTCGCTCCACCGCCACCCATAACTGGATCTCTGAGTTATATCCCAGACATAGAAGCCCTAATACAAGGCCTCTCAGATAGAAGTAAGGAATATTATAGATGGTTGGCAGTGCAAAAAATAATAAAGGCAAAGAATGATGTGGAGTCAAAAGAACTAAGAGCAAAAATAGCAAAAGCCCGTAGATGGACCAAAGCAAATGACATCACTATAATTAGAGCGGATAAAGCTAAAACCATGGTAATTATGAGGAATCAGACATACGAGAAATTGCTTATGGAGTACATCAATATCACTCAATGTGAAAAAAGCGGCACTAACGCAGTTGAAAAACTACAGGCTAGAGTAAAGAGATTCTCCAAAAGCAAGTTAGCGAAGAAATTAGATATAAAGAACATTGTTGTAGACTCTCCAGACATGCCCAAATTATTTGGGTTTGCTAAAACGCACAAAGAAAGCAAACAGATTCGTCCTGTAGTGGATAAGATTCGGGCTCCAACACGCAAACTAGAAGAGAAAATGCACTATATAATAGCACCGCATTTAGAAGAATACCAGTTTAACATAAGTAATAGTGTTGACCTTATAGCTTTACTCAAGCGGATTAATACCACCCCCACAGTAACTCACTGTGCTAGATTTTAAATCATTATACCCTTCTTTACTCCTTCCACCAGCCTTCTGTGCATTAAGAGATTTGCTAATAAGTATAATAGGGGACAGTAACCACCATCAAGATATACTAGAGTTAGCGCATTTATTGTGCTACAATTCTTTATTTCAATTCAAAAACGAGGTATATCAACAGAAAAGAGGTGTACCAATGGGGAGCCTGATAGCAGGAGATCTATGCGAACTGGTAATTAGACTCCTAGAACAGAAAGTACTGCCCGACCTACTCCACAATATTATTACATACAAAAGATATGTGGATGATATAATCATTTTATGGAAATCTAAACCTGACATAATGGCAGTCATAGCGGCATTTAATAATAACTCGTATGGATTAACTGTGGGCCTCGAACAGGAGAGCGACAAACAAATTCATTTTCTCGACGTGAACATCATAGTTAAAGGAAGGTCTATCAACACAGAGGTATACAGAAAACCTCAGGCAGATCAATTGTATATCCCTGCGCATTCATGTGACCCATGGCAGTATAAGATAGCGGCCTTTAATAACTTGGTGAATAGAGCATACACCCACTCATCGACAACGCGGGCACTGGATACAGAGATCAACACCATTAATATCATGGCCAAAAGACATGGATATAATAGTAGGATAGCCATGAGGATCGAAAAACTGATGCATTCACGAAGAACAGATCTAACAGAACCGCAAGGGCAACAAAGTAACAATCAGAAAGACAGAATCCTAGTCACTTACAATCCGTACTTAGAGAAAATCTACAAAGAGATCGCCAAAAGAAAACAAGCCTCCTTAATATTTAGAAGATGTCCCACTATATTTAGAATGCTAAATAATGCAAAAGACACTCCACATCAAAACAAATTAGCAGGAGTATACAGGATCCCTATAAAAGATCATAGGTGTGATAAAAGTTTAGTATACGTGGGATCGACAAAAAGATCGTTGGAGGTGAGGATCAAAGAACACAAAGCGGACATCCTACATAAAAGATATTCAACAGCATTAGCACAATTTGCCACGGACCCTGATATACAAGCTGTATTTGACGAGGCAAAGGTAATTTACACCACACAGCTAATACACCATTTGCGCTGGATGGAAGCGATATATATCTATAAAACAGCAAGAGAAGACAACTGTATAAACAATAAAGATGAACTGTCCTTGTCGATGGCATGGCAAACTCTTATTTACGACACTTGAGAAGCCAAAAGCAATCCTTCTATCTACTGAGCATGCGCAAGTTTAACACGATGATTGCATGAGTTTCCTTAGAACATTGCGTTCAGATTTCGAATAACATTGATTCTACCCGTTTCACCTGAAGAAGAACTAAGTTCGAAAACGTTAGTGGAAATATTTGGAAATAAGCACTGTTTTGGTTTACTGCAGAAGTAAGTCGTTTATTTTTACAGTGTGTTTAGAGGAGATTATTGATTATAATCTTTATTACTTAATGCAATCTTCATTTTAAAAGATTACAAAAGGCATTATAGCGAGGTCTTATTTTATATAGATTCATGTATTAATAAGTGGTAAATATTTAACCCACTTCTGGTATCACTTCAATCAGTAAATCATGCTTCTCTTTAATTGATACAGTATAACAAAATTTTACTCTGTATATTTAAAAACAACAGACTAAAATATTATTCATTATAGATAAAACATAAATAAAATATTTTTCTGTTAATTATAAATGGTTGTAAACAATGTAGGCAATCATCTGGGGCTACTTGGGATGGAACATAAATTTGCTGAAATAATAACCAGGTTAAAAAAAAAAGACCATACAGTATTTTAAAACAAAAAATTACATTTCATGCCCTTACAAATCAGAACATTAGAAATATATTAAAGAACACTGAAGCAGTCTTGATCTGTCTTTAGAGGCTTATTAGTCATGTTCAAATTGCTTAAAATTTGAGTGAAAATTTTTCCAACTCATAACCCTTAAAGTTTTTTGTCAATCAAGTGCAATCTCTCAAACTTCAATTCCTTAATTAATGCTAAACACCTTTTTAAACTTCTTCCATAATCCTGTTGAGTGACAACAATAATACTCTGGCCATTATTCTATGGGAAAAATGGACAATTGTCTAGGGCAGCGCTGTCCAACTGGCGGCCCGCCAAATAATTTTTACAGCCCGAGAGTACATTTTACTATGAATAAATTTAAGTTACTAAATTATTATTATTAATATTAAAATTATTTTACTACCGTGTTTCCCCGAAAATAAGACAGTGTCTTATATTAATTTTTGCTCTGAAAAATGCGCTAGATCTTATTTTCAGGGAATGTCTTATTTTTTCCAGGAAGAAGAATTCACATTTATTATTGAACAAAAAAATTCCCAAGTCGAACTTAGACAAGAGTGACATATATCCGGTGTATCAAACTGTTGCCTTTTTATAGCATCAACATCGGACTCGCTGACCAATTAGTGCTTATTGAACCGTAGCACTATGCAAATGTCATGTGGCGTGATTCCCGGCCGACCAATTAGCCATCACCAACCTTCTTGGCCCCCGAAATGTTTGGTGAAGAAAATATGGCCCGCGGGCTATGATAAGTTGGACAGCACTGGTCTAGGGTCCAAACCAATCTTTAATAAGAAAATATTTTCCCTCCCTGTACAACACTGTACATGGGGTTCCTAATTCAAATTTGCTTAGACCCCAAAAACTTATAATGTGCTACTGATCACATTCTTGATTTACACGAACTGCTATCTTTGATAACCAGATGGCCGAGTAGTTAGGGTGGTGGCCTATTCCTCTGGGGAACCTGGAACTGAATCTGGACAGGTTGAAAAATCCCAGGAATTTTTGGAGTATAGTTTATTTAGATATGTTTGGCCCCATCCCTTATCATCTGGTCACCCTACTGTGGACCACAGTGCAGAAAGAGTTGAGAAAAGGAAAGTATACCTTTGCCAAAGAACTTCATCCTGTGCCAATTCTCTCCACACACATGATGCCAGACATAAATCAGTTGCATTAAGATGAGATAATACAGTTAAACTTAGTTCTGGTGGCCACGTTGCTAAATCTGGAAATCCTAAAAAAGAAATTAATATAAATAATACATAAATTCCTAAAATTCATACTTAATTTTTGTCTCAAATATAAATTGAAAAATATACTACTATCTTTTCTATATTGTAAAAATTAATAAAATACAGACATACTTATAAGCGTGTTAAACAAATTAATTGTTAACTTTCCACAATTTTCTGCTAGTTAAGATTGTTTCTACAATCATCTAAGAGCAAGAAATAATAATAAACAGTATCATTATCGCAGCAGTATGATAAATACAATATTAAATTAATACAGTAGAACCCTGATTATCCGAGGCAAATCTGCAAGTGAACGTGCAACTTTTCTTATACAACAATTCATAAAAGAAAGTTTAAAATCATATTCATATTAAAGTGTTACTACAATAATAGACATTTTTATTCTTAAAACATACTATATATATATTAGATGTATAATAAATGATGTAAAAATTATTGTTCTTATATATAATTAAATTCACAATAGTGTTATCCAAGTTTTCAGTTATCTGAGGTACCATTATTCCACATTGTCTTGGATAATTAGGGTTCTATTGTACATAAAAAAGCATCAATTTAAAGATTTTTATGAATTATTTTTTAAGTCTGAAATTTATGTAGTTTAAAGATTTTTCAAAAATCTATCACTCCATATTTTTATTGGATTTTCACGTTTTAAAGATCAAGATTCATTCAGAATGTCTTCAACATATCTTTATTGAATATCTTCGATTTAATTCTGTCTCAATTGTCCTGAGAATATTTTCTTCCATCTGTAGGCAGAATGCCTGACCTATTATCAAATATAGCCTCATCTTAGTATCACCATACATTACAACTGATCATTATTCTTTCTACTGATCACTGGATGTTAGAACTTTTATCTTCTATGTACATAGTTGGACATTGTTACTTCCATACTTAGTCAGCTTGTGTTTTCTCTATAATTAAAAGATAAGGAAAAGCATCAAAATTTCAAGAGTTTTTTTTTGCCACAGTTTTTGTTGGGTATCTCATTATAATATTATGCAATTCAAATTGTCTTTCCAAAAATAAAACCTCAACTTATAGCACTAAATCTAGAGTTCAACATACATTGGCTCATTTAATGTTTGTTTTTAAGCAGAAGTGTCATTACAGCATTATAAATTATCATTACTACATATTCTTTCAAGCATATTTTGTAATCCATAAGGTTAAAATGTCTTCTTGAATACATATTCCATTTTTAATGCTGCTTAAGTTATTTAGCATTCTTAATAAAGCAATTTTTCAGTATTGCTAAGCTGAACAAAATACGACTTGATCTTTTAACAGTGTAAAAGGATTTTTATCTAATTTGCAAAATTCGGTTTATTTAATAAATGATTTATTTACTGAATTAATATCGAGCAACTATAACCCTTTAACTTTTTATAAATAAACACAACACACTCTTATTTTATGATTTACATAGTAGAAAATTTCCTATTATAACTTTTTTCAGTCATTTCTATGTAGTATTATACAGCTAAAATTGTATTTCTAAGAGCATAAACTTAACTTGTGATGCTACATTTATAAAAAATAGAATAGCTTGCTTTAAAATAGTTTTCTAGAAACAAAATAGAAAACACAAACACTATAACTAAATATATAGTAAATATATTGCCATAATTTTTGATGATCATAAAGCTGTAACAACCTGAAAATAAGAAAATATTTTATTTTATATTTTTTGGTGTCTCTTCTTCAAACTTAATTTGATTATACAGCTGGACGTCAACTTTTGAATATAATATGTTTGTAATAATACACACAAAAGTCAAAAACAGAGTTGCATGTTATAAAAAAAGTTCTGTTCTGAAAGAACAAACAAACAAAAATTAACCAGCAATGAGTTGCTCAACTTTCTCGGCAACATTTAAAATTTTTGTGGTGCCATCCGTTATCATATTTTATTAAAAAAACTTTTTATATTTTTAACTATTATAAAACAGCAAAAAGCTTAATTTGGGAATAGGATGAGTTTTATAAAAAAATTGTAAATGCTAATAACGAGTCGTCGTTAAGTTCGATCCTATTGGAGATGCACATGACCCCATTATCTCCCCACCCCTCGACCTTTAACCACCAAAATTTAATAGCATCAATCCCCCTAATAAACAAACCTCCCTGCAAAATTTCAGAAATTTTCGACAAAAAGTACAGGAGTTATTAACCTTCAAACAGGGTGAACAAAATTGTATCCCCCCACACACTAGCATCCATACATACAAAAATTCCCCCAAATTATTTTTGCATTTCTTGACGTTTTAAGGTGTCCAAGTCCAAACATGTAAAAATCTGGGATGTCATTTTTTGCCAGATTGCCATACTTTCCCTCTGTTATAACAGCCAGGAAAGTAAAAATAAATAAAATCTCTAATTAAAATATGAAAGTTTTCATTTTAAGTAGTAAAAGCAAAAAGTATTTAAAATGCTAAAACTGAAAATTAAACATTAAACAGATAGTAAAAGTTAATTTTTAAAAATGATTTTATGTTACTGAAATCAAAACTAGCAGAAACTGATATGGCATAATAGCTTGTAATTTTTGTTTGTCAACTGAAGAAATATACAAAATTGAAAATTTGGCAAGTTAATAGTACAGATATGCAGCCCATCAATAGCACTGCTTAATGATGGGCAGCATATACAATGGAAATTCCATACAGGAGTTGAAAAATTTGCAGTAGTAGTAGCAGCCTGTACTGTCTCTATGTTTGGTTATGTTTAAACACATAAATATAAACCATAGATAACAATTGTACACTTAGAAAAACCATAAAGATCTGTCTCCATAACATTTGTTTAGGGGCTGTCCATAAATTATGTCTGCATTTTTCCAGAAATTTCCCCCCTCTTCGGATGTCCAACAAAACTTGATATCCTTTAAAACCTTTATCACTTTATGAATGATTGATAACATAAGTAGAAACAAAACATACAAGAAATTTTGAAATACAGTTGACTCCCCTATAACACTGTTGATTATTCCGTTTTATATGAATTCCATGTTGTACGAGTCACTTAGGTTTTACAAATACATGTGCCGGGCTGTGAATGGTCACGTATTTGTAAAATCTAAGTGACTCGTACAACATGGAATTCATATAAAACGGAATAATCAACAGTGTTATGGGGGGTCGACTGTAAATATAATAAAATACATAAACTGTATAAAATTTAATAAAATAAACGGACATCCACTGGAGCTCAACCCCTCCCCTTGTCCGACTTTGTCTGATTTGTTGTAATTCCTTCCCTCCCTTCCAGTGTGGACATCATTTATGGACACTCTCTTAATGACATATTTCTTGAAGCATATCCTCATCATTAAATGGCATATACCTGTATTAATCATATATGAAAAAGCATGATATCTGAAAGTTGAAGACCATCTGTACATTATCAAATTTAAATTTTAAAATATGATCATCTAAGTTTTAATCACTTCAGGTTTCTGATAACAAACAAATTCGTTATATCATTATTTTTTCTTTAATAGAATTTCAAAATTATAATGACTTCTATTGTTATTCTATGATACTGATATAATCTATAACATTGCAAAATTTTTATCAATAAAGTTTTTCCTCTATATCTTATCTTTCAATATCACTAAAATGTAAAATCATTGAATAGATAATATATACTCTATATTAATTAGAATATAGAAAAATTTATAAAATAATCATTGTAATCATTAATTATAAATCTGAAACCTTAATTTATTATTAAAAAAAATTCCTAAAATGTAAATATGATGCAATTCCCTCTTTGTTTTATCAAATGTATTCATAACATATTTAATAATTTCACAATTTGTTGATACTGAAAGATAATACATAAATTAGTAAAAATCACATTTAAAAAAAATTATACTATTCAAGTCTACAATACTGTTCACTTAATAATACAATCTAAATTTTTGTGTGACTCCTTACAACAAACTGATAAAGGAAAAAAGTTATAGCATGTCTTGTTGCAGCATAAAAAAGAATAAAGCCAAACAATTGTCAAATTATAATGGCTATATTACTACTACCATTATTAATTAAATGATAAGTAATTTGATACTAGTGCCAGATGTTAAGCATCATCCCTTGCTAAATTTAATAATTATAATTAAATTAATATTTTAATAATTAATTTAGAGGGTTCTAGAATTAAAGAATTGGAATGAAAGAAGTGGGACTTGAACCCACAACTCCTGCTTAATTATTAAATTTAGCAAGAGATTACACTTAACACCTGTCTCTAGTACCAATTTATTTAGCATTTAATTAATAATAGTAGTAGTAGTAGTAGTAGTATAGTATAAATTGGCTATGGTTTAGCTTTAATGCATCAGATTTACCTCAATTTGACAAAAACTTGTAAAATTGAAACAAACTAGTCCATAGAAATGTATTAAAGTTTGGAAGAATACACAAACAAACAAAAAGACATAAATGTAACAGGCTTTTTTAAGCTTATTTACACAAATAAATTAGAATTAAGACAATTTGTTTTATAAAATTAACATAAATAAAAGAAAATTAAAGAATTTGTAACAAAAATGTATACACATTCTTTGATAAAAAGTTATTATTGTTTTAAATGAAAAACTCAGTTAAAAGTTATCTGTAGTTTATAATGATAAAAAAGTCAGTAAATTTATAAAAGTGCTTCTTTTAATTTTCTTGAGTTAATCAATCAAGAAGTAAAAATTATTTCCTATTAATATATCATTCAGTCAATCAATTTTGACTAATTAAATGATATATTAATAGGAAACAATTTTTACACATAAATGAATGAAAAACAGATTTAGTGATACAGATCAGAACATTATAAAATCAGCATGTGCTAAATTTTTCATTTTAACCAATTGAGAATGAGGAATTCTTTGGTATTAATAATGTCCAAACAATTACAGATTTCTAATTTCCTCTTCTCCAATCAGTTAACCTTCAAACTAGAATGAATATGCATATATTGATAGGCCACAGCCCTCTCAATATATGCATCGGAAGAAGAGATCGTCCCGCTATTTTAACAAGCCTACAAGTTAAAAATATCCATACATGGGGAGCATATCAGATTTATGGAGGCACTTGAAATTTTCAAGGAAAACAGGGAAGGAAGCTGTATTAATAACAAAGAAGAAAAATTGATTTTGGAAGCATTACAAACATATTTTGACACCAAATTATAAGTTCTGCATCAAGAATTCCATAATGTGCATGACAGCAAAAACTAAAAATTTAATTTGATTCAAAATAAAAAGTAAAAGAACATTCCAGTATTCCAAATTCCTGACAAAGACCTCGGGAGTAGGTCCAAAACGTTAGAAAATGTTAATTTTGACAAATGATGGACTGTTTTGACAGGTTAGTGAGAATTTGTTTCCATTTGTAGAATAAACAATCTCCCACTTTCAACTAAGATATGGTTCCAACAAAAATTCTATGGTATGTGTTATTTAATACAGTACAGCTAATGAATAAAGAAACAGGAAATTAAAAACTGCCAAAATTATAATTAAAGTACGATAATTTATTTACTGTACTTATTTTTGTTCCTATATTCAGTCTCTTTAACAAAACAAAATAATGAATAAACACAAAGAGATACAAAAAATGCTAATTTCCCATTTTTGAACAAAATGAACAGAACAAACAGAATGTGATCTAATAGGTAAATTTTGAAGTGCATCTGTCTGTGAAACAGGTACTGAAATTTCTTAAAATTATACCCTGCGTTAATGTGCAGCACCAGCATACTATCAGCTTTATGGCCAATTATAATTACAACTGCTACAAATGAGCTTCATTCACAATTGGATATATCAAGACCAGGTTCAAAGCCATATCCCTCAAGATGATAAGCTGAGAGCTTAACCTGGTCAGACCATATTCTCAGATTATCAAGAACTGACTAGTCTCTCGACTGAATTTTTGATGTAGCAAGAATAGGAAATCCCCACTTTTAAATGACATCAAACTAAGAATAAATCAACCAGTCATAATAAATAAACATTGTGAGTGCAGTATTAATATAATTTTGCAAATGGTAACATTCTGTTTCTTTCAATTTTGTTATGTTTGAGAAGACATTTCCCAATTTCTTATGATTAAACACATCTCTATAACTGATCAAGTCTAATGAGAAATGACAAGGGTCTAGAATGATTTCACTTGCTGAGATGTTATGAAATTAAGATTGTTCCAGTATTGATAACAGATTATAAGTTTGTCTATTGCAAAAAACATTCTCAAATTTTGTGTGCCTATGTAAAGCAGTTTTCATTTAGCATCTGTCTATGTAACTCGTATGCCTTTTTATGAACTCCACAGATTTTACTGTGGAGTTCAGGTCAAAAAATGAGTTAGCTCCCTTGGATCAGAACCAGTAAAGTTAATACATGGTAAGATAGTTAATTTTTTTTAATACAGAGTAAACATTATAGTTGCGGGAATGTTTTCCTCAGGATTATGTTACATTAAAGGTGTTTTAATTTGAAATTGTGTGATTCTCTTCCCTTGGTATAACAAGAAAGTCAAGTGGACAAATATATATTAGTAACTAAGGACAAGAACCACATATAAAAAAAATATAGGGTATTATATTATTATTATTTATATTATAAGAATGTGTTTTTACTAAATCACACAAAATAAAATCTTTATACCATAGTCATATTCTGTACATCCAAAATCTATGTAAATGGTTTCATAAGCAAGCATATCATTTTGTTTGTGTGATTTAATATCATTCAATTACTGAATTCTACTCCATAAAGAGACTTTAACCAACACATGCAATTTCTGAATGAAATAATTTAAATAAATTAAACAAATTGATATGTTAAATGTCAATAGTAGCATGCAATTGATAACATCTGACAATTTAATTAGAAAAAAAATATATTCAGGCATCAAAATAAAATATATTCTAATCAAACATATTCATTTCAATTGTTATTGCTTCAAATTTCATCCTCTGATTTTATTTAATTAAATATATGTGATCTGTTCAACAAAAAGGCAGTTAAGTTCGAAAAGAAGTTTTTGAGTTTTTTTATGTAATGGCATTAGTCAAATTAAACTGACCTATTGTACTCTTCCAATTTTATCATAATTAATTTCTAAAAGAACATATCTTTTTTTCTTGTTTTCCTATCAATTTGTTAATGTTAATTTCTTAATTTTTCCACTTTTTATTTCAATTATAAATATAAATTGAGATACAGCAATTAGAATTAGAAACCTGGAACTGTTGATTATAAAATTTACTGAAAACAATATTAATATCTTGACACATTAACCATCTTTCTGTAATCCAAGTCAGATATATGTAAAATACTCTTTAGCAGTGGCATGCCATGACATTTGATGATAGGAAAGATGTTTCCATAGAAATTTTAAACAAATACTGGAAAAGAAAATTAAACAGTTTATTTATTTTAATTCTAAAATAGATAATTAACACAAAACAAAGATATAAGAACTTGTTTTTACTATTTTTTACAAACTAACCCTATTTGGCATTTTTTTCCGCAAAGTCGTTAATTACTTTATCATAAAAATTGCATGTTGTTGATTCCATCAAAGTATTTAAAAGCTCCTTTTCTATGGAATGCAGTGCTAATGACGACAATCTTTCCTCCGACTGAGTGTTCATTGCAAATGTATCAATTTGCTTCATGGTTGAAAAGCTGCACTCAACAGATGCACTCACAGATAGTACCATGAAAATTAATGATATTAAATCATATAATTCTTTTAGTACATCTTTGTTCAGATCGTCATTAATTATAATATTTTTTTATGTCTAAGAGTGACTTGTCAATATAGTCTGGACATGAATATAAATATTGCAATTCACTATGTAATTTAGATAAATCAAAAAATTTTCCATAAAATAATTTAAAGAATTAAAACTCACTTCGAAAAATTGTTTTTCATAATATTTAAAATTAACAACATCTAAAAATGATAAAAATTCTATAGATTTTATATTTGAAAATCTGTCAATATAATTATAATTAACAAAAATTATAATTAAATATAGCTTTTTAAAGAAACATACATAAAAATAACATAAAATCTTTTTTACTTTTTAAATCTTAAAACAATGCACTTAGTCAAATAGCTCCCACCAGTGGCTATTGGATGGAATCATTGGATATTTTGGTGTGTAGCATCCATGAGCTAAACTGCCAGAAGTTGATGCTTTGTAAAGTGCATGCGTAAATGCCTGTAATCTGGCTGCTTTACACCAGTGGTGTACTGTACAAACTATTTTCATTTCCGACCCTCTATTTTGTGTAAAATTTTGTCGCGATTCCTAGATAGACAGTAGACATGTTTTTAATTGTCAACATAGTTAAAGTGAAATTCTTTCTGGGATTTGTGCTTATGTTTCTGCTTTATTAGAAGTCTGAATAAAACATAATTTTACTGGTACCTAATACTTGTTGAAGAAAAGCCTTATATTTTTAATTGTCAAATAAATTTCTTTGAATTTGGCAACCCCAAAAAATTTTCTCACGATTTGCACACCACTGCTTTACATGATTCAGATATTTTCACCATGGAAACTGTCCTGTATTTGACAATACAGCACTTCCATGGGAATATGCATAAACAAATTTATATTTGAATATACAGTAGCAATCTTATCATTGTTTCTCACATGTATATAAATTTGTAATAAAATGCATAATGACATAATGCAGTTATAATAAAATATTAATTTTAAGTAATTCAAAGTATGTTAAAATATAAAAATAATTGCACAATATGTATTTATATTTTAGAAAATACAACAGAAATGCTGCTTCCACAGCTTCCATAAACAGCATGCCACTGCTCTTTAGGAACAGAAAACATGAATAAACATATGCTGGAATAAATAATAATTTCATATATAATTCATTACTTATAAAATTAATATTTTAATAACATGTGACTGATTATATCCATTCGTAAATTGATTTTATATTTAGTTCTTGATTTTCCTTATTCATAACCTTATATAAAATCATCATTTAACTAATAATTACTATATTATATCAACAATTTAACCTAATAAGTCATTTCAATGAATAATTCACTCTAAAAAAACATGAAATATTATCAACAATCCTGTTTAAAAACATGGAGTTACCTTCTAATGCAAGTGGTTTGAATTAATTGAAAAATATACTTTTAGAATATTACTTATTTAAATCAATTTTTTTTTATTTTAATATCAATTAAAAAGAATTTTTAACACATTTCATCTAAATATAAATACTTCATTCATAATTCAAAGTTTATGCACTCTTAGATATAGCTTGATCTTTTACGAGAGCTTAAAAGCTCTCGTAAAAGACTAAAATATCTCCAAATGTTCATTTTTATACATTTTAATGAGTCTGTTTATTGCTACAAAATATTGTTATCCTTAGCCACAATTCTGTATACGTTTGGCCATTTTAACTTAAATCAATATTTGTGAAAAATGTTTCTGTTGTCCTGTATACACCGATGTATACATGGATAAATGATACATGTGGATGCATTATTGTGAAAACTTACCTTCTGCCACAGAGTTCAAATCTTTGCTTTCTTTTTCATTTAATTTTTTCAATACTTGGCCCATTGCTGTATGACTACAGCAGCTGAAAGCAGCAATATTCTAGAATATAAAATATTTAAATATTTCTTAAATGACTCAAAAAAAGAAAAACAACTATAAATATATATTCAGATATAAGATAAAGCTTTATTAAACATTATTACAATTCTTCATATTACATTTCTAAAAAAATAATTTTAAAAACTCAGTTTATTCATATTGAAACTTTAAGAAGAATACCTTTTATCATATCAAAAATAGAAAAATTAATCAATCAAGTTGTTACATACGTAGAGATGAATATCGTAAATATTTTAATCTTTCGTCTGATTTCATCATAACTCCATAATCTGTTAAATCATAATAAATAATTCATGAATATTCAAATAAAAAAAAATATATATATATAATTATATATAATTAAGAAAATAATTAGCGTAATAAGACGGTAACTTTTGAAGACTTAAAGACTTAATGTCATACAAATTTATTTATCTAATATTTAAACAAATTTAATATTTTCATAATTAAAAATCTCATTCAAAAATTCTTATTTGGACTAAAGATAAATGAGATAAAAAGTGTTTGAATTTCTTATTGATATTCATTAATTAACTTGTAAATTCTAGGTTGAAATTTAACTTTATAATTTTAAACAAATATTTATTTTTTAATTATGAATATATTTTGATATTAAATACATTTGATTAAAATAATTAATAGTAAAATAATAAATTCAAGATAGACCAAAACTCAGTTAATTGTTATAAAGACTAAACTGTTGTCTTAATTAAATACCTACACTACTAACAAACTTTGAAAAACTGTTCAAAATGAGGTCCTTGTTCAACACACAAATTACTGTATTTACTCGCACATAAGATGAGATTTTTATTCATTTTTCACTGCTTCAAAAACCTACGTCATCCTATATGCGCAAGCGAAAGATTCTTTGCATCTTTGCAATAATTTTTGTGAAGCACGTTGTCGGGATATGAAAATCGTCTGGCACTCAGTTTTCCCGCCTTTTTATGAACGACCGTTGTCGCCATAGATACGGCGATCAGATCATTTTGAAAACTCGACTGCTCATTGGCTAAAAGACATCAGACCATCGGCGGACGTCTTATAGAGCTGGTAAATGCTGATTGGTGGAATCCAATGCTGTTTCAATCCTATAAAAGCATTGAAGTTCTGGCGGGAAGTTCAGTTTACTTTGGACATTGAGTGAACTCACGCTGACCTTAGCTCGCCTAAGCTGTTTTAGAAGATTGTCTCATCTTGTTGTATTGTTGTGGACTTTGAATTTGTACGTTTGCAAGGTGCTTTTCCGACGGACCTGTTGCAGTGGATGATACCTTGAACTTTGTTAATATCTAATTTGACTCACGTATTCACATTTTTTAATGTATGTTCACTCTATGGTGTTTAATTAAAAACAAAAATATTTTATCTGGGTTGTTTGTATTGTTCTTGTTATTGTCAGGAGTAAAGATGAATAGCAATAGGAAAAACAAGGCTTTTTGAATTGAATTCCAAACTGAAATTCCAAAATCACATGGAAGCTCGATATAAGTTTTAATCCATTTCCACATGAAAACAGACGATTATTCGGAAATCAGAATTTGGAGAAACTCATAAGTGTAATCGACGGAGAGTGGACTTGACTATTAAGAATTGCCAAAAAGGATTCCGATTGTCCAGCTTTACATGAACAAATTATGTTGTCGATTTTACAAGATTTTTCCTTAAAGTTTAAAATGCCAGTAATTTTTGCGGGACAATGTGTGCATTTATGTGCATTTGATAATATTTTATTTGTGATTAAACGAAATAAAATTAGAATTGTATTAATAAATCTAATTTTCTTTATTTTGATCTTTAAAGTCATACCTTGTCCTTATTGCGAGATTGTCTTATATGTGAGTAAATACGGAATACTACTTTGGTATACTTTTACAAATTTCTGAATTAATTGCCAATAAAGTGGTTAACTGAGTTTTGGGCCATCCTGTATAAAGATATATTTTTCACAATTATATTAGAACTATTGCAATATATAGTAACTTCTATGCTACATTTTGCTATACATAAAATATCATTTAGCTTTCAATTTTAGATTTTATATATATTTTATTTTATATAAAACAAATATGTAGAAATATAAATGTTTTCAAAGTATAAATATGGTTTGTAAAGTTTTTAAACAATCAAAACTTCCATTATTCATGCTTAAAGTGTTATGTGAGAGTTCTTCCAAAACCAGAGCCAAGAAAATGATTTTATTTTAAGAAAAATATATTTTGTAATTTATAAATATATAAAAACATAAAAATTTATTTATTTTTTAAATTAATTTAAATGTATATTATAAAATATAGAGTATTTTAAAAATTAACTTTAGATACAAGTAGACAAGCATATTAATTTCATTAATATAGGTATATCAATTTCAATAATTATTTTCTTGTTAGTAATATTGATTTTTCTTGATGTACGGTACATAAGGTATAATATTGTGCTTAAAAATTAGCGATACCTTCATTTATTAGAAATAAAAGTAAGTTTTATATAATGTATATAAAATTTATTAACAGCTTAATAAACTCTATAATGTTAAAGTATAAAATTATTAATGTTGTCTTCTCTGTTTTCCAGCTTACAGTTAAATGCCGCTTTCAAAATTGATTATTAAATTCTTAATGTAAATTAGTTTAAAGAGCATTTATGATTGCAAAGTATAAGTATTGTATATAATTATAATAGTTAATAATAACATTTCTTTAACAATTATTTATATAGAAGATATTTAATTATTCTAAATAACAGATTTCAACAATATTCTTTTTACATTAAAATTAAATACATAAATAAATTTTATGTTTAGAAAAGTATTGTTACTAATTTAGTGCTTTTGGAAAAGTCTTATATTTCATCAATAATGTCTTTTAAGTATGATTCTACTTATTATTATTATTACTACTATATCTATATGTATATATATAACAAATTATCTTATTCAGCTTAATATAAGTTTATAATATTGTATTACTATATTAATACAATAAACTTTTGCTTTTAATTTCCTTAGTAATAAAACAAAGTTAATTTTGATGATAAAATTTATAGTAAACTGTCTTATGGAAGAAACTGAATTTTATAAATTTCAATTGCACTTTTGTATCTGTATCTAATTATTATTACTCTTGATAAATTACTTTTGATTTATCATTATATGTTAAAATATCAAAGTCAGAAATGATAACAAGGTCATAAAAGTCAGAAGTCATCCAGCATCCAATTAATGAACTAATTTTATGAATGACTAGAAGAACAAATGATGTAAAAAATATTTAAGATGTAATAGCAAGGTTGTGGCCAAAGTTTTCACCTCTGAAATGTGAATGTCGAACGTCAAGCGTCGCTATCTTGTAAGCAGCGCTCAACATTCAATGTTCACATTTTAGAGTTAAAAACTTTGGCCGTAACCTTGCTAATGATGATTTATGATTAACTTTTTCAACAAGCTTTTCAAACAAAATGAAAAAGCACTAGAAATTTTAATGATAAAACAAAAATTTGATACTGATGTTGCTTTTCAACTACCAAAGGTATAATCACATCATAAAGAGAAATGTTTTATTTAAATTCAAACACTTTTCAGTTTAATTCTATACTATCTTCAAGACAGCTCTAAATAGAAAATGGAAACATTAACCTTAAAAATAATCAAACATTAAAACATCAAGTTTCTTAAATAAAAATCTTAAAAAAGAAACTTAACACAACCTACATTCACATTATCGTATCAACCTATATGACTGAACACTAACAGAGAAATTCTGATTGCATCATACTATCTGACACTAATGGAGTGAGAACATGATTAGTCAAAAAGGTTCATTTACAAGATACAATTTTAAGGAAAAAACCTAATTGGTTGAATGAACCAAAGTTCAGTAGAAGTCAAGATATTTTCAACTCCTAACGAACCATTTGACCAGTTCAGTCGAACAGTTGCCAAAAATACCAGTGTGAACCTAGCTTCAAGTAGATATAAACAATCTTTCTAATAAATGTATAATCAAATGGTGTATGAAACAGTACAAAGCATTAATTTATATACAGTATTTAAATTGTATTTTAACATCGATTTTAAGAAAACTGCTTTAAAAGATATATTCACTTTGCATTTTCTAATCTAAAACAATTACAAAATTTTAAATATTTACATAAATATAGTTTATAAATAAACTTTAAATACATTTAATTAATATGACATTTTAAATGACGCTAAAAATGCACTTTTAATTATTATAAGTAAATAATTTTATGCAACAATTTATAGATTGAATTCTATATATTTTTATAAATTAAATTATAAATTAAGGAATACAATAATTAAATAAATGGTTATGTTTAATTACATTAATACAATCTTATTGATTTATAAACAATACTTGAATATAACTTTTAACTTAAATCAGTAAATTTTGTACATGTTTAATTGGGTTTTAACTGTAAAATTATCATTAAATTTTAATTATAATATATTAAATTATATGTTTTTTTATTTTTACTGATTACACTTATTGAACTATTGAGTCATGCAGAACATTTAAATGTAACTTTTAAAATTTAAAAGAAATTTATATAATTTTCTATGAATAAAATACTTTATCAAGTTTTAAATTAGAATTCTACACAATTTTCATTAAATTTTAATTAATAAATATTAAATTTTACATTATTCTCATAGATTAACACTTATTGTTGATCAGGGTTAACATGTGCATTTTGTAAATATGTCAATTACAAAAAATTTAAATGCTTAACAACAATTTTTGATAGTTTAATTATATAACGAGTGCAAATAAATATCGGAAAACGATTTTTATGAGACAAAAATAAACAAATTTAAAGAAAAACATCAAAAAAACAGCTTACCACTTAAGAATCTACGACATACTATAGTTTGCATTGTCACCGCCAGATGGCAATTTGAATTTTCGAAAATAAGTGACGTGTGATTACATAGGTGGCAGTAATACACTACGTAATCTTACGTCACACAAAGAAATAGAAAGTTTCCAGTTTTTGAAATTTTTAGCGGGTGAATTTCTTGTTATCGACATTTTAAAAATGGCTACCGGAGATCTGAAGAATAATCTTAAAAAACTTAATTTAGAATTAAAGAAAATTCGTCTACCTCAACATTTATTTGACTTTGAAGGGTAGGATTTAAATTTATAAATGAAAAGTAAATTTAATGTAAATTTTTATAATTTGAAGAAAATACTATGCTCAGATTTCTCCATCATTTTTTAGCTTAAAATGCTTCATATTTTTAATTCTAATCTTATTTTAAGTTTATATTTATTAAGTTTATTAACCTTTAACCACTGGCATGCTATTGTATGTCTGTTACATACAGTAGCAGACCAGTGTTTAATTATTGGTTATATTTACACTGCCACAACTGCTTATCATTTTATAAGAAATATGGTCAGGGCTGTGCCATGCTATGATACAGAGAGACTGCCGCATCAGGTGGTACCATAAAGGGCGGCATTTTGAAGACTTGCATTGTACTGAGAAAATCTACCGCACAGCCCTGAATATGGTACAAATGCAGTACTGAATAAGGCCATAGACTATGCCCATTGGAGTAAAAAGTAAGAGGGCCCTTTGATTTTACTCCTATTGACATGGTCTAAAATTTGGGAGTCCAAACCCCTCAAACAGAACTACAAAGCTTGGGGCATACATATATGTGTGTATTTTTTATTTACAAGTTTAAGTTTATGTTTTAAACCATATCTTATGTAATAAGGCAAATTTGAAAAATAAAAATGCATTACAGAAATATTCTCTTGTTAATGATATACTATGCTTCAACAAAAGTAACCTAAGCTATAATTCTAAAAAAAGAAGTCAAGTAAAGTTTAATGTCTGTTTTTAAAATTAGAAGTAGCATAATTCCTGCTTGGTTAATTCAGCTTGGTTGGTTGAAAATTAGAAGATATTCTAAATGAACATTTATGAAGTACTAATTTTTGATAATATAATAGGAGTAGAATAATATAAATACTTCGTGCATTTCACAATAAACTTTTGTTGTGCATTCAAGAGATATTGGCTACTTGAAACATCTTAGTATTTTGTAAATCGACCAATACTGATTCTCTAATACATTTACGTTTACTTATTTTGCGGCCCATTAGTGGCCAAGTGGTCTTCGTTCCTTGAACACTGGGAGTTCGGTCGTGGGTTTGCACCTTGCTCGGACAGGCTGGCCACGTGGAGTTTTCCAGGTTTTCTCCATGTCTGTAATGCCTAAATAGGGGCCAGTTTCCTTAAAAAGACCTCCCAGAATGGATCCCCCCTTAGCAGATTTCCCAAGTGTTGTGTTGCCATAACTTAACAAACAAACAAACAACACTTATTTTGCTGTTAGTTTTATGAGATGATGACTGGCCTGTATTATCAACCTTATAATTAAGTTTCACATTGCTTATATCAGTAGAAGTTACTTTGTACAATCCTAAAAGACATTTCTCACAGTTTGAATTTCCATATCAAACTGTTTAGATATGATAAATTGCATTACACTCATACACACTCATACGCTCATTACAGTGTGGTCACTTAGACAGCCCTAAATTTTAAACTTGTGAAAAAGAAAAAAAGTTAGTCTAGAAGTAGAAAGCATACTACTAAACTGTAGTAACACACACTGACTTAAAAGTACACAAAACAGAAAGCTTTAACTTCATACCAGGGACAAATCCTACAAGAATAAAAATATATACAGTCGACCCCCCTATAAGATATAGATACGTTCCAATTTATTAGGAATCCGATTTCTTACAAGTCGTTCCAATCACAGCCCGACACGTGTCAAGTTTACGGACTAATCTAATTATCTAAAATCTAATTGCAAGTTCTCCATCCTTCTGAATAAAGAAACATACTAATTTGCCAGCCAATTCATGAATTATAGACTGTGAAAGGTAAGTAAACATTTCGCACTTACTACACACAATGAACATTACAACATGAGAAAGTGCAGTTTATAGTTATTCCGTATGCTTAATTCAATTAGGAATTTAAAACTGTGTGTATTTTATTTATTATTAATTTGTTATAAAGTTTTTAATACTTTTGTACTTGAAAATATTAAAATTTAAGTGGAACTGCAAACAAATATTTATTTTTAATCAGTTTAAATTGAATTATCTCAATTGTTAGTATTAGATTTAACTCTTTAAAATGTTTCGGGACAAGTTCCGGCATTATAATCCTCAAATTATAAATATTTTAATAAAGGAAAATAATTTTATTCTAATGATANTAAATGAATAAATTTTGGAGACCCTTCTATATTTAGGATTCAGACCAAATGATTTATAGTTTCCTTGTCTTTCAAAGACTTACAATTTGTGAATCATATAGCTATGATAGTGGATGGAAAAACAGATGACTGGTTTTCTATATCTACTGTGGTCAATAGTGTTGTGTAATTCTCCTTTATTTTCCATCTTAACAATAAATTTTCTTTACATTTGGATAAGGATGTTGATTGGTTTGGAAAATACAGAAAATATCTCAATTTTGTTGATATTTGTCTCTTTTCCTATAGTACACATTATATACGAAATAATAACTCTAGCGAGCAATACAACTATCTTGGCCTGAAAATAAATAAATGAAAATTCTATCTATTGGATTTGAAAATCATTCCTAAATCCTACTAGAAAATGTGCCTATTGTAAACATAAATCATTTTATTTACTTACTAACTAGGATGATGATATTGAAAACAAACTTAATGGAAAAGATTGACAAGGCATATGATTCATTTTATAAATTGCATAATATCTGGAAATTATCACACTTTACTCTTCATACTAAACCAAGAATTTTTAACAGTTGTATTCTCTTCATCCTTCTGTATGGATCCAAAACAGAAAAACTTCAAGTGCCATAGATAAAAGACTTAAATTTTTTTCGTGACTAATGTCTTAAAAACATCATGCATATTTGCTGGGATGATTTTATTTCCAATCAACAAACCCTTCAAACTGCTAATCTTAGTGGTTGTAGTATGGCTTTCAGATGATAACTATTTTGGTCGCATATTAAGAATGTCTTTAAGTAGACTATTCCAGCAGGCAAACTTTTGGCAGACAGATGGATCTAGAAAGAGAAGTTTCCCCAAAACCATGCATAGGTGAACTCTAGAAAAGAATATTTTATATTTTATCTGATTTATATTTTAATTGATGCTACTCATTGTTGCCGATGGTGCAAGTCTGGAGCTACCTTATGTACAAACTAGATACAAGATGAATGAATGAATAATAAATTTAAAAGCTAAATTATTTACTCGATTTAAAGAAACTACACATTTAAAATGTATAAAATGACCTTTCACTTACATCACTTACTTTGTCTCACTTTCTCTCACTCCCATGCACACTGGCTACATTTTCAAAAGTTCTGTGATCAAATTAGAATAACTTTTCTCATCAAAATCTAATTGCAAGTTCTCCATCCTTCTGAATAAAGAAACATACTAATTTGCCAGCCAATTCATGAATTATAGACTGTGAAAGGTAAGTAAACATTTCGCACTTACTACACACAATGAACATTACAACATGAGAAAGTGCAGTTTATAGTTATTCCGTATGCTTAATTCAATTAGGAATTTAAAACTGTGTGTATTTTATTTATTATTAATTTGTTATAAAGTTTTTAATACTTTTGTACTTGAAAATATTAAAATTTAAGTGGAACTGCAAACAAATATTTATTTTTAATCAGTTTAAATTGAATTATCTCAATTGTTAGTATTAGATTTAACTCTTTAAAATGTTTCGGGACAAGTTCCGGCATTATAATCCTCAAATTATAAATATTTTAATAAAGGAAAATAATTTTATTCTAATGATAATTGAATTTAAAATTAATTTCTTGATTTTGTTCTGTATATTAAGTTAATAAATTAGCATGTAATCACGTTAATATGATAATTTTTATTACATTTTAATGACGATATTTCTTTCTTGATGATTCTATAATTTAAATTTCGATAATATTCAAATTAAATAATTGAAAAATAATAGTAAATATTTTNGCTATTTTTGATCTCTGTGATTATGAAATTGGGGAAAATAATGTTTTTTTAATATTCAACAGGCTGACCCAGCAAACCAGAAAATCCAGCTGACAAGCTAGCTTTTCATGGAAGCACAGTTTCTGTGTGCTTCCATACAACAGATGTGCCCACAGTTGTTGCAACTGCTACTCTGTATATTCAAAGATAGTGTTTTATATGGTCTCATAAATGCTTGATGCTCCCATCAAGCATTTATGAGACCAGGCAGGTCAGGGAAGTGAGACAACATGACATCTCTAGGAAATTATAGTTGTGTGGCTAAACGTTATCTTGCTGGAAAATGTATCATTGTGTCATATTGTTCCTCATATCACTACTAGGAGTGACCAATAGTCACACAAAGATGGCTTCCCAGACTAACACCTCAACAGTGGGGACAATGTGCTGCTCAACAGTGTGATATTAAAGTGCTCACCAGTGGTTGTCTGTTCTAAAATAGAACTGGGTTTTATTGCTAAAGATGATATGCTGCCAATCTGTATCAAGTCCATGCTTCTGTTACAGCATCATTACAAATGAAGCTGACAATGCTGGGGTTGTAATGGTAGAATGAAGAACAGTTTATATATAAATTTGCCTGTCTCTTGCCTGTGGTATAAGAAGAGAGTTGTAGTGAGGTTTGCACTTGTTTGTTTCTGGATGGTGAACAAAGAGATGTTATAGCTTGCTGTTTGTGATTGTCTCATAATCATGTTTTAATCTCTTCTGTAGTTTGTGTGTGGTATCCAGAACTTGTACGTGTGCCCTCATGTATTCATTGCTTTCAATATCTCTCATTCAGGTCAGAACATCTCAGATTCAGCAAAATGACATCTTACTTCCCTCAGCTTGATGATAGTCTTTTTCAAACTCATCAGTTGTGTGTAATGTGAACACTAAGTGTGATAGTTATAACTACTGTTCAAAGACTAAACAACAGGTATCCTGAAAATTGTGAATATATAGCCCCCGCAATATTTTAATAGGGTAATGGAGTAGTGGCTTGGCATTTTGTTTGTGCAACTGAATGATAACTGTAATAATTTACATACCTGTCTGAGACATAGATATGCATGACTTGAGATGGGCCCTAACATTGTTTTGAAGATTGTCATTAGGCTTGAACCTCTGTCCTCCTAGCCACTTTTGTTGTTCACGAAAGAGGAGGAAGTTGGGACTATATGCTGGGTGTTTAAACGTGGTGAAGACTTTTNTGTCTGAGACATAGATATGCATGACTTGAGATGGGCCCTAACATTGTTTTGAAGATTGTCATTAGGCTTGAACCTCTGTCCTCCTAGCCACTTTTGTTGTTCACGAAAGAGGAGGAAGTTGGGACTATATGCTGGGTGTTTAAACGTGGTGAAGACTTTTACCTTTCAGATGTCCACCCAGCTTGGAAGTGTTTAATGTGTGAAAAATTCCACTTCTTTCCTAAACTGAATCCGTGGCTAGAAGGGCAGAGGTTTGAGACTAATGATGATCTTCAAAACAATGTTGTTAAGGCTATCTCAATTCACTGGTGGCAACATTCTGTGAAGAGGGGATGGAAAAGCTCATCTACAGATATGAAAATGCCTCAATCTTCATGGTGATTATGTCGAAAAGTAACCATGTTTGTACCTAACTTTTGGTAATAAATTCATTTTGTTATTTACATTTGTCTTTTTTTTTTATGGACCATTGGAAGTTAAAAAAACAGCCTACATAGTTAATATGAGCCTCTTGCTGCTAATCTTTCCATATCTGGTATTGTCTTTCATCTATCAAATTCTGTTTTTGAGATTAAGGAAGGACAGATTTATCAGAACCATAGATTTATAGGTCTACAATTTTTTCATACTGCAGTCCAAACACATTGTCTACGATTTTCTTAAATCATGAGGGACGTGTATTTCCTTATGCTTATCATGGATGACCAAAACCAACAATGAAGCCTATGATGATGAGAAACGGAACTTTAGTTAACTGCATCAAACCATTGAACTTGACAGTTTGACATAGATAAACTGAACTAAAACTTAGATCAGTGTTTCTCAACCTTTTTAAACCCAAGACCAGTAAATTGTCTAAAAAAATTCTACTGACCAATAGGTTATGTAGGCCTAATTTTTTAAACCTATTTGCATATTATCAACATTTGGGACATACTGTCTATTTATAACATAATATCTAAAAGCATGCTTTGAATACATATCAAAACATAATTAATTAAATTGGAAGTAAACTATTAAAAATGGATTATCATTGAACAAAGTTTTAATCTTTATTAACTTAAGTCTGCCTGCAGACCACCAATAGTGAACAGGTTCACCACAGATTGAGAAACATTGACTTAGTTCATTTGNCAATCTTCATGGTGATTATGTCGAAAAGTAACCATGTTTGTACCTAACTTTTGGTAATAAATTCATTTTGTTATTTACATTTGTCTTTTTTTTTTTTATGGACCATTGGAAGTTGAAAAAAAACAGCCTATATAGTTAATATGAGCCTCTTGCTGCTAATCTTTCCATATCTAGTATTGGCTTTCATCTATCTAATTCTGTTTTTGAGATTAAGGAAGGACAGATTTATCAGAACCATAGATTTATAGGTCTACAATTTTTTCAAACTGCAGTCCAAACACTTTGTGTATGATTTTCTTAAATCATGAGGGACGTGTATTTCCTTATGCTTACCATGGATGACCAAAACCAACAATGGAGCCTATGATGATGAGAAACGGAGCTTTAGTTAACTGCATCAAACCATTGAACTTGACAGTTTGACATAGATAAAGTGAACTAAAACTTAGATCAGTGTTTCTCAACCTTTTTAAACCCAAGACCAGTAAATTGTTTGAAAAAATTCTACTGACCAATAAGTTATGTAGGCCTAATTTTTTAAACCTATTTGCATATTATCAACATTTGGGACATACTATCTGTTTATAACATAATATCTAAAAGCATGCTTTGAATACATATCAAAACATAATTAAATTGGAAGTAAACTATTAAAAATGGATTGTCATTGAACAAAGTTTTAATCTTTATTAACTTAAGTCTTCCTGCAGACCACCAATAGTGAACAGGTTCACCACAGATTGAGAAACATTGACTTAGTTCATTTGGAATAGAAAGCTGGCATTTTGTTATCTCAGTCACTTAATAAATTTAATGAAATTAAGCCAAATGCAGTATGAGCTTTTATCATTATTATTTATTATAGTTTCTGTAAAATTTCAGTTTTATAACTCTTAGTTTCTGAAAAATCTGGCTGATAGACAGCTGAATGGACAAAGCTGATGTAAAAGTTATACATTGATCTATGATTCTATAAGTTTAAATATACAACTTTTAATTTTTATATTCTAGTTTTGCATCTGGAGATTCAGACAGCTATCTGCCAGTTTATGATTATCTCTTCGACTGGTTTAGTCCGCCTGTCATGCACATGATAAATGACAAAGGATATAAGTTACCATCCTATCAGCAAGATAAAGGCAAATTCATGGAAAATTTCTACCTTATTTTACGTGAAATTTTCAATTGGAAACCAGTTCTATCAATTACACAGTTTTTTTCAAATGGATTCATAGAGCATAAGGTTAGGATTGTTGAAATTTAAAATGATATTTCTTTTAATAAGTTTTTCATAAAAGTAATAAAATATTTTGCATATACTATAGGTTATGATGTGTTCTGAAACAGTTAGAAGAGTGAGAGAGAAACATGCAGAATTGGAAGCAAAAACACCAGAAAGGAAGGTAGCAATAAAGTTAATAAATTGATAACTTTGCAAGCTCATAAGTAATATATAAGAATAACTTCTAAAATAAAAATCATGTCTGCTTCTATTTCAAAGTTTGGTTTATATTAAGCAATGTGTTAAATTCTAATTTGGAACTTAAACTGTGTTGGTAGCATAACAAATACACTTTCTGAAGATAAGATAAATATCATCATTGATGTATAATTAAAGATTTGAGATATCAGTGGGTATCATATATTTTGTTACTGTTAAAGATCAAACTTAATATTTTATCTTGAGTCAGCCTTTTGCTTATGTAAGAAATAGTGTATCACTGTGGTGGGATCTTCTCTGGATCCTCATAATTTAGCACAGTTAGTTAAAGTTTGAGTATTATTCTTCATTCTTCATTTATGTTGGCTGATCTTGCAGATTATAGAAAGGAAACTTTAATGAATGAAATTGTTGCAGTCCATATAACTGTAGTATGTTGGTACTTTGCATTGATAAATCATTCTTGATATTAACTTTTTTATAGGGTGGATATATTATTTATATTCTAGAGCAGAGTAAATTCTTTTTTAAAAAATGTTTATGAAAACCTTATTTTATTCAAGGACTGTTACATCAAGGAGAAAGAGTGCACAGATTTGTGTGTTCCTTTGATGTAACAAGTCCTTGAATAAAGTTAGGTTCTTGTGAACACTTTTAGAATAATTATACAATAAGGATAAGAAGTAATTAACATGACAGCATATATTAACTTTTTAGCAGTCGTTTTACAGAGAACATTTTTGGCTTTCAATGGGTCTTTGTCAGGTTCAAAATGGAAATTGGAATGTTTTTATAACAGCTGTTTGAACTCAATTACATATTTCAGTTTTGAGCTCTCAGATTTAAAATGATTTGAGTTGATTTCTAAGAATGTGTGTAGTGTTTTAATCAAATGACACTTGTAACTGGGTCCTAATGATGACTACTTAAATTTCCCACTACTGTTCAAGTAAAATAATAATGACAAAATAAATATTTTTATGACCTTTAGTCATGGATGACTTAAGTTATGATTGGATATATATTCATGTATTTTGTTTACCTGGTTTGTGCCCTGTCCTCTCATAAGTTATTAGAATCTATAAACTTCTGTGTATGTGCAATATATGTTGTCTTTATCATTCCTTAATTTATGTACAGATGGGCTTCTTTGGTAACTTAGTATTGCAATGTCTTTCTATTTTGTTGTAAGTGCTTCCAAGTGATTTATCGTAACAATTAAATGGTGGGATGCTCCTTGGGAGTGTTCCCAAATTGGTTGTGTTGTTTATTCTGTTCCTGATAGTGGTGTTCTAGCGTCCTCTGTGCATACAGTTGTGTTAATCACTTAACCATTATTCTTGGATATCTGTCCACCAATACATTTAAGCTCTTCCAGTGTGTTTAGAATATTTGTGCAATGAAAGAAGTCTCCTTTTGATCAATGTTCTAAAAGCCACCAACTTAAGTGTACAGGTCATTTGAGCAGGTTGTGATAAAATAATAAGTGGGTATCTGGACTGCAGTATAATTTGGTGATAATCTGCCCTTCCTTAAGAGTGGTATTTATCAAGTCTAGAAAATGTTCCATATTGTCAGTCACTTGATGCTAAAGCACATTTTCTGGAATTCCTGTTATCCCATAGGAGTTGTTAACTTTTGCTAAAAAAAAAAAAAAAACTATTATTCACATTTGACACTCTGTATAATGAATGTGTCATCTATATACCTGGTATATAAGGCAAGAATCTTTTTAGTGCTTGAATGACATCTCACATAAGGACTTCCCTTCGGGACTGATGGGGGCTTTCTTTCATTGGTACACTCCTGCTCTGTAAGTAGGTTTTATTGTTTATTTAAAAAAAGGATAACTACCACATTAGATGGATGAGCTCTTGGATTTGTTGGTGATAATGGATTCAACCTTTTCCCTGCACTAAGATTAGTCACATTAAATCTGTAATCTTTAAAGAATGATATATATATTATGCATCATCATATCTAATAGTAATATGGGCAATTATATACATTGGGTATTAGCTGTGTCCTGAGGGTGTCTACAAATCTCTGGACTGCTTTATCTAAGTGCAGTGGTTCTTGCCAGTTTCATGTGGGTGAATCTAACAACCCTGCTTTATGCTGTCAACAAAATCATCACTTATTTGTAAGCTTTCCATTGTGTAATTGTCTAGTTCTATATGGTACTTTGCTATTTTATCAAAACTAGGGATTTGTTTTTGACTGCTTTTGTTAAGATTAAATCATTTTCTTGTAACTGTTTTCTGCTGACTGGTACGTTATGCTATAATGTAGATTCAGTAGGAAATGGTTATCAGAAGTAGTCTTTCTGGACTTCTTTGAATCATGTTAATAGTGCTTCAATACCTAATAAGATCTGTTCAGGCTTCTTCAGGGTCCCATGTTCATACCTCAAGCACCCATGAACATGCGACCATTTTTTAATAGTTATCTGTAGGCAGCTGAGGAGAGGGAAGTGTCATCCCAGCATACAAGAAGTATGGCCTACAAAACTTATGCTGGAATATCCATCACAATTTTTTAATGCATGTACTATGTAATGCAGTTGATCTTTCCTCTTCTAGGTTTATGGTTCTGTTCATTTCTTCTAACTGCTTAGGGAAATTAATTTTAAATCTGAGTTCAAAATCGAAACACTCTTAGTTTGAACAGCTGTTATTAGAACATTCCAATTTCCATTGTTAGTTTGATGATGGCCCATCAATAAGGCCAAGGTCAAAAACATTCGCTGTAACAATTACTGCTGGAAAATGAAGATGTTCAATTACAAATTTATTGTAACAGATTCCAGTTTTAGTTTAATTGTTTCTAGAGCAGAAATTTTTAATCAGTACTAAAACACTTTGCAGAACCAAAAATAACTCCAGTAAATAATCTCAGACAGAAAGACTAATGTTTTTGATCCTTTTCATGGATCATCTTCTGGTCAAAGATGTTGAATCTGAATGTTTTTTGAATATGTTTCGAAAAATGGAACACATTCAAAAAGTATCCTGATTCTTGTATCTGACCTTTAGCCTGAAGAAGACCCGTGGAAAGGATCAAAAACATTAGTCCTTCTACAAATGTAAATCTATTTTTAATAAACAATTCAATGGATGGTTATTATATGATATTATAACTTCCAATCATTTAAAATTTTTGAAGTCTTAACGGTATAACAGTTTTAAACACTAATGACAATATCAAGGAATAGTGAACTTTTCTCAGGTATCAATAAGGATACCTGAGAAAATATTGAAGTGAAATAATTCCAAAAATTGGTTCAAACTATGCCTTGATAGTGTTTGATGTTATTCAAATGAAAGGAAGTCCAACTAAATATTAAATTATATAAATTTCATAAAAATATGGTGTCCTTATAATTAGGTTACATTTAAAAATGCAGTTAATTTCAAAAACTGTGTATATATTATTATTATTTTTGCTTCTGCAAGGTGTTTTAATACTGTATAATTACACGCCAGTCTGAAGAACTGTTGTGAACTTCCACTGAAAGTGAACTTAATGTTTTCACTTTCCATCCTATCCCAAATTAGAACTATATCCAATGTGAACAATTGCAAAAAATTTCCCATATGTCTTCCGTATCTCTTCGGCATCTCAACTCATAGATTAAGAACAGTGGCTCTACAGTTTACACATAGCATGTTTGTTACTATTATAAATTACTCCATAACTGTAATATTCAATGAAATAATCTACACTTGCTGTTTGGTCTGACGAGGAACCAAGTCTGAAATGCATTTCCAATATTAATAAAGTGTATATTTTTGAACTTGATCTCTGACTCCATAACCTATGAGGTGTGATAAGTCTATACAATTAGTCAACTTTGGGCTACATCAGGAAGCATTAACCCAGACAAGAAGCAAGAATATTTACAAAGAATATGTAACATTCAATTCTATTTTATAAGAATAATTTTGAAGTTATTTTATCTTATAATTAATAAATTTGAAAAAGAAAAGATATTTAAATGTGTTTTAATTATATTAAATACTAAATTTTTTAATATTTAGTTAGTTACTCATAGTGGAATAAGAATGATCTTCAAAAATGCTAATAATAATACTTCAAAAGAAGGATTAATAATTAAAAAAGGTGAGAAATCTTTTACTAATTTCAACAGTTTATTACTTTTTAAATTTTAAGTTTTAATTAATTAGTTCCTAGCATTGAAATTTTTACAACAAAATTTATTAATCTAAATTACACACAACTTGATTTTTTATTATTTTTGATTGCTTTGTATTGACTTAAAAGATGCAGAGTTGTGTTTTAAATTTAATATTCAATATTGTTATACATTCTACCTTCAACACATTGCAAGCAACATGTTGAAGGTAGAATGCTATGTTCTCTTTGTGGCAGTTTGTGACATAACTATAATAATTTTTACTTTCCCAGCTATTTTAGAATATAACGTAAGAAAAGTATGATTATCAGTCAAATTTTGACCATCTGGTCTTCTGTACTTCTACGTTTTGATATTCCAGGAGTCGAAAAGTATAAAAAAAAAATACCCCTTACAAAATTGTGTTTGTGGGGATGGGTTTGTCTGTCGATATATATTTTTGCATTATATCTCAATACTGAATTAACCAAAAATTTTGAAATTTGGCAGGGGAATTTCTATATATCAGGCATTGATGTTATTAAATTTGCAATCAGACTTTGAAAATTTGACTTGAATTGACAATGAAAATTTTACTTGTTGTTGGCGTTTACAATTTTTTTTAAAACTCATCTCTACCCTCAGAATTGTCTTTTACCTTTTGTTAATAATTAATAATATAAAAATTATTTTTTAATAAAATTCATAGCTGATGGCACCATACACAATTTTAACTTTGAGCTATGGTCTTAGTGTTTTTTGAACATAAATTACTCTCTTTAAAAAAATATTTATCATGATTCAACAAAATTACTTCTTTTAAGTTTTTATTGTTATTTAAATTTTATATTGTATTACAATAAAAAAAAAAATTATCAAACTTTCTGTTCTTGTTAACCTGTTTGAGTGCTTGGAAAGTTGAGAAAATACTTGCCAGTTTTTAAATATTGCAGAATTTACTCTGGAATTTACCTTTACTAATAAAATTAAGTAGAGTAAGTTAATAAGATCACAATTAGTATAAATTGTGATTTTATTTACTCTAGCTTTAAAAATAATGACAAAAGAATGAAAAAAAATGTAAAACTTGAGATTTATTAATTGTAATTTTTGTTATTAGTAAATAGAAATTTATCCAGTGTTTGCCATTTTTCTGCAGTTTTTAAACTAGTAAAGAATACCAGCAGTTTAGATCTGTGAGAAACAAAGTTTACTGTGAGCAAATAAAGATTAAAATGGTAAAAATATAACATTTAAAGTACTTATTAAGGCAGTGATAACTGATATTGGTTTACAATATCAATCACATTTTGAGACTGATAATTCAAACAACAGCTTTAAAAAGCTTTTACATGAAGAAAATAATTATAAAGCACTGACTACAATAAAATTTTAGAAGTGCATTTAACAAACAGGCATATTGCACTTTAAGGAACTTTACAGCACTTTTAAATTTGTATTCCAAAGCTAGGCCTGAGGCAGACTTATAAAATAAACTGAAAATATTTGTTTCCTGAATGAATTCTCTGCTAGAAGTGTGAATGGTTTTGTTTGTAAGTTCATCTCAATATTAGTTTTGTCAATGTGTTTTATTATTTTTACTTTTATATCTGTTTTTCGGCTTAGTACTGCTGTGCATTTAATAGTGTAAATATGTTTTTAGGCTATTGTGTGCCCTAACAGATGATAAAAAAGGCTGTTTTGCCTCATGACAGTGTCTAGAACCTAACCCATTGTATTATCAACGTATCCTTTTATATGTATTTGGATTAGTGATTGCATTACTAGTAAATTAGGAGAATTATACCCTGGTAAATTTACCAGTAATTAATTTTTTTACCAATATTTCAGTTTAAAAAAAACCTCTTAATTAATTCAAATTTTATTTTCCTAAAATTCCCACAGGAAATACCTGTGGGAAGCAGATTTCTTTTTGTCTCCCCATACCATAGCAAGAAAACAGTGCGGATGGTGATGGGTCATTCCATTTGTAATTTAAGGTTATTAAAAGAAATTTTCTAGTTTTTTTATAACTTGATTCCCTGTATTATATTCTAAAATCAAGTTTGTTTTTGGAGTATAACCCAGAAAAATTGAACAAATATAAGTCTCACAAAATATCCAATAATGTTAACAAAAATATAATTTTGAATAGGATTGTAGAAATAATCAAGCACTTATCAGAAAATGAAAATGAATCATGACTTGCGAATGTCACTGAAATAAATTCAGACTCAGATTCTTGTGAGAGGTGTTCATTGCTTACCACACCAACTTCTCATGTCGACACAAGAACAAAGTGCACAATAGAAAAGTCAAATTTAACAATAAAAGAGAAATTGGACTTATTCATTAAATGTAAAATGAGAATAGACACTGATAACAGCAATATAAGTAAGTTTAAAAGTGTGAAAGATATAGTTAAGAAAGAAATGAATTATTTTGTAGAGAAAAATATACAAGGAACGTATCTTAAAATTTTTCAATGCTCTAATGACGGTATGTCCAACTAGTATTGATTCCGAGAGCGTTTTTTCTAAAGCAGCTGCCATTTGTACAAAAATTAGATCTAGATTAGACAATGAGAGCCTAAATGTATTATGTTTTTTAAGAGCCTCCTTTCAAAATAAAGAAAAGCATAATTAATTATTAGCATTATTTCAATGTCTGTTATGTCATAATAATTGCTATTATAAGAATGTTGTTTGTCTAAACTGAGAGAAAACTTGAAAATAAATGGCTGTCCAATAATTCTGTCAGTAATTCAGTTTCATTTTAAATCCTTTGTTAATATGAATTTACCAGTAAATTACTGATAAACTGGTAATCCCGAATATAATTACTGATTTACTGGTAATGTAATACCCGGTAAATTTGTAACCACTAATTCACATATATTAATTCTTATAACATAAATTAGTGACAACAGTATCCATTAGAATAAGTTCAAACAATTAACATCAGAAATGAACATGAAACAATTTTGTTAGACACTTTGGGACTTAGATAATTAAATTTTCTTTAAAGGAAATCTGGTGAAAACTGATATTGCAGTCTTTTATTTAAATGAATTAAATTTATTCTTTGGTATTTATATTTTTAAGATATATTTTTGATGATAGTTAGATAGCTAAGATGATAAAAGAATTTGCTTTCTGCACACAAAAAGTGGAATCAAATCGAGACAAGCAATTTTATGGTAATTTTTCATCGGCAATCTGTTCCAGATATGTCAGTCTCCATCCTTTACCATCCACCCATCTCTGTTGTGAACCTGGCCAAACCCATTATGGGTATGAAAAAAAAAAAATGAAAAATGTATATGTTTTGGATATTTACTATTATGAAAAGAAATTCTTTGTGTATAAATTTTATTTATTTATATATTTTTAACTGTAAAGATCACCGGTTTTTATGAAGCATCCTGTTAAAATTGTTTCTGTGGATGTAAATTTCCATGCATACTCCAACTTTTTAAGATGTTTTTGCTGAAAAATAAAGCGAAGAATAAGAAGAAGAAAATTGGGAAAAAATAAAATAAAATATGAGATAAAATTTTATATTTANCAAATAATGTCCAAGTTTTCTTATGTATTTTAAGGCTAAAAATTACTTAATTTAATTAATTTCTAGTCTTCAAAACTATAAGTAGTAATTTCATTTCTTGTTCAGCAATTTAATTTGACAAATTTTAATATATTTTTCACATTTAATGATTTTCAATGAATAATTTGACTAAGAATCCTACAAAGTTGAATTCAGTTAGATGTTATCTTCTGAAGAGATAAGTGATGATATTGATAAATGAGCTGTTGTGTAATGGCTGAGTAGTTAAGATAACAGTCTACCTCTCTGGGGATCCAGGATCAAATGCTGATGAGCTGAAAAATCCCAAGAATTTTTCAGGGGTGTGGCCTATTTGATATGTTGTTTCACCACCTGGCTTTGGGTCTGGCCAAACCTGTAATGGTTTGCTTAAAAAGTCCATCTTAGTGCCTGCAGGATAGAGAAAGTTAAAAAAAATTACTGCTTCTGTAATTGTTGTCATTTGTATTCTCATATCCTGACATCTTTGTAAAATAATAAAATATCTGATCTCATCCATACTTTTACAACTAAATGTAAACAGCATCTGATAATAAGGAAGTGAAAAGAATATAGAGAATTCATTAGTGTTATGCCAATTTTCAATTGAAAAGTATGAACACTTAAGTCAAATTTTATAAAATTAAATATATCTAAGATAAGAAATATGACTATTAGAATTAAATCATAGTCATCTTTAACTATTTGAAAATTAGAGAATGATTGTGAAACTTCCTTTTACTTTTCTTCATTTAATTTCATCAAGAAGTCATTTCATATTGAAGTAAACTCATAATTTGTATCCAAAGTTGTTCATAAAAATTATGGCTCTGATAAATTTTTATTGCCTATAGATGAAAATCATTCATGGCATTTAACCGTATCTGTGTGTCATTTCCCTGTGGATGGCATATCTGTAACATGCATGACTTTAGTTATTATGCTGAAATGATGTCATAAAATAAGCAAGAAAACGATTTGTAGAATTGATTTCATAAGCCATAATATTTTGAAGATAATAATTCTTACTACTTACTACAGTATTGTGTATAACTTGATAATGTATCAAAATATAGTAAAAGAAAAACAAACATATACTTACTATCTGATTCTTCAAATTATCTTCTGAGTCTTAGTAATAAGTATGCGTCATTATCATCATTTTATTTATTTGGTCATAAAACAAATAAAGAAACAAAACAAAAAAATAGGAAAAAATCTATTGAAAAATATGTGATATACTGTTTTAAAACCTTTTAATGTAAGAGGAGTACACAATTCTGTCCTAGACTAAAACATTTGTGCTCAAGAATTTGAAGACAATGTTAGCTGGGAAGATTCCACTTATATTTAAGCAACTGATATATTGCCAAAACTGTGTGTTATTATCCTGCCTCTTGCACTTATGTTGCTAATGGGTTTGATAACAGTGCATGTCTTTCAAAATTAATGCTGTAATAGTGGAGTTATGTCTAATAGAATTATTCTAGATGCACAATATTAACTTTCTTATTTGTCTCTTACAAAAAGAAACTTAATGTTATAGCTAGAAATAAATATACCATACATACATTTGATTTCTATTAATCACTAAACATTAGATGTAACAATACACTCGAGTAACTTACAGATGAAGCAGAATTACCATCGGTGCATATAATACCAATTGGAATTAAAATTTTTCTAGCTATATAGCAGGGTTGGCCAAATGTTGTCACAATAGGAGTCATATACTAAGGATGCAGCTCTCATGTATTTCTGATACAATGTTTGAACATTAATTTATAGCTTACAATTTGTACTTGGGTCATTGTGACTACATAGGTTACCAGTAGATGTAATCTATTTCAAAGTCCATGCCAAGTTAGATATAATGCTAGATGCTTACACTGTCAGACTGCGATTTTAATGTCATCTGACAGTGCATCTAGCATTGTAATGTAATTAGTTTATTGGAGTCTGATTGAACATTTTCTGCAACTTTATTGAATTTTAGATTTATTATAAAGGTTAATTCAAATTCATTTCTTCAATACATTTTTTAATTTTATTATGTAATTATTCTAGCAAGAATGGCATTTGTTTTTTAATTGTTGTACAGACAATTAAATTAAATTTCATTGAATTAAAATATTTCAGACTCATTTGTTTCTTCTTTTAAAAGATAGTTTATATAGTGAATTACTTAAATTCTGTATCAAAGATGTGGATTAAGAAAATAATTATATCACAATATCTATAAATTTATTTATTTTAGAAATTACAAGTTTTCCTTCTGACATGGTTGATACCAGTTCCAGTTCTGAAGATATTTTAATACAAGATTATGAACATAATCAGGTGAGAGAGGAACAGGACACAGTTTATCTTATAAAAAATTGGTTGAGTTTTCTCAATCACTTTTTGAATTATTAATATGTTTACAGTAACTCAAGAAAAATTAAATGTTTCTGAAAGTTCACAAATTAATAATTGTCTTTATAATTGATCTATAATTTAATTTTGTTTAAAGTGCATTTAATAATTTATTATGTATATAAATGCAGTCTTCCAGAAAGAATGCTACCATTTTAAATTACTGAAATTATGTTGATGTATCACACACTTCTATGGTAATAACCAATTGATAGAGTAATTATCTCCCATCTTCATTCAAATATCTTGTCTTCTGTCCCTAGGAAGTGCTGTAAATGAAAATTGCAACTCTACAACAGAGAAGATGTTTTGTGTTCTGCAGTTTACAAAGTTAGAATCAGTCATTATTGTGCAACATGAGTAGATGTAGAATTGTACCTGCTATGGGAGAAATGACAATGGATATGCTGTAGTGAGTGTAGGAAGAATTTGAGTATCATTGAATGTGATGAGGTGCATACATTGAAAAATTGCAGTGGTCAAACATGAATCTTGGACAGTTTTCCAATGTTTTTAATGTACATTACAACATTCTCAGATAATAATAAAATTATTAATATTATAATTTAAAATGGTAACATTCTTTTTGGAAGACACTGTATACCAAGAGCTATTAATCAAGCAGAAATTATTGATTATACTTTTGTCTCACTATACCAAGACACACAAAAGTATAATACACTCAGTTCTCCTGCCCTTTGTTATCCTTAATGAATATTGGGATAGTTTAGTGATAAAGTAGATATTGCTTGATATACAAAATTAATAAAAACAGTATTCCATTAGTATACTATATCAAATTTTATTCATTAATGCATTTACACTATGAGAAAACTTAACATTTTCTCAATGTAAATGCATTACATACACAATTTTTTTACACTCAATTACTCTTGAAATAATTTATTTAAATAAATTTTAGATGTAAAAAGTTTTCTTCCTTCTAAATAATGTAATTAACATTAAAAAAATGTTTTAGCTTTCAGAAAAAATGAGCCAGATTTATCACAAACTTTTCGATACTTGCGAAGAAGTCAGAGAAATGAAACACAAGTTCACCAGTGTAGAAAATCAACTTCACGAACTGCAACAAAAGATTAACTGCCTATCTTTGAAACTCGAACAATCGCAGAGGAATTCCATTCAAAACTGCAACAGTCGAAACAGTCCCCCGGGAAGGAATAGCCCCAGTTTTAGAGGAAACTGAAATTGAATTTGCGGCTTAATAATTTATACAAAAAGAACTTAAATAAAAATTGCACACATTTTGTAAAACAACAATTTTTTTAAAAAAAATTTATGCTAGTTTGCATGTAACAAATTGACATTAAGAAATTTTGCACATTTATTTCCATTTTTTTAAAATTATTATTTATTAATATAATTTATTATCATATGAATAATGTAGATTGATTAATTTATGAATGTTTAAGTTTTTTTTTTAGATTAAAAAAAAAAAAACAAACTTAAAACTGGATAAAAGTTAATATATATTAGCATTATATTATTTTAAATTAATAAAATAATAATTATGCTAATTTTGTATGAAATTATCACAATTAAAACGAAGTTCAAAAATTAATTTAATTTTTGATAGATTTAATTGTATTTTATAAATTTAAATTCTAATTTTCTTATTCAATTGTATGCAGTTTGCATGTTAATAGAATGTATTTTGTATTCTAATGTATAAGAAATTTCAAATAAATTTGTTTACAGAAAAACTTTTTAAAGTGAGATTTTTTTTAATTTTAATAATTAAAAAACTAATTGTTAAAATTGATAGTTATATATAACTTTATTTTTTATGACAATAAAATGGTAATAGATAGTAAATAAGTTGTAAATTTTGATTGTAAATTATACAAACTGATCAATATTAGTGTTTAAAAGTGCTTATTTTAAATATAAACATAAAAATTTACATAAGATTTATATAGAAATATAAATAGAAACATTAGCATTAATTTACTTTCAGATGAGAATGTGTAGGAGTTTTTTCCATTATAAACAATGAATTAAATCCAATTTGATCCATAAAATTCGAAATTTTATCAATTTGAAGAGGCAGAGGACTGGAAAAATAGTTAAGTACCTCTAAGATTAAAGTAACTTTCCTGGTTTATTACAGAAGAGCTTAACAATAGTATCCCTCTGCTTGCTTAAAGTAACACAATTTATTTTAATTTTAACATTATCCAATGCTTTAATTTACACTTTAACAGTTTTCTGGTGTTAAAAAAGTTTGTTTCATACCTCACGTTTTACAGTTATTACACAATTAATCTACATACTTCAGAGTGAAAATATTTGAATTTAGAAATTATGTAAAATCTAAATTTATATGCAATCTTGCCTCATTAAATTAATAATTTTCATATTAGATTTTTCTATTGTAAAATTATCAAAAAGAAAGCATTGTAATTTAAGAAAAGGGGGAGTAATATCATTTAGATTTTAAAAAATTCATCTGTGCTCAACTCACTCATGGATCTGTTTATCACACTATAACCGTTTTATATTATATTTTATACATTAAGCACCAAGTACCACAAAAAACATACAACTTTCGAAGAAAGGAAAAAAGCTTGTTGCTGGACTTTCCCTAATAATTGCTACCATTATCTTTAAATGTTCAGAATGGTTCGGGAAATATAGCCCCACCCCTTCCTAACCAATGGCCCGATTTCCTTGAAAATTTCTAGAAACGTTCCTCCCTAATACATAAACTTTCTCACAAAATTTCAGAAATTTTCGACAAAAGACACAGGAGTTATTAAGCTTCAAAGTGGGTGAACAAAATCTCCCATATACACTAATATCCATTTCTTTTTTTTTTTCTTCGATGTTTTAAGGTCCCCAGTCCAAAAATATAAAAATCTTGGTCAGTTTTACTATACTTTCCATCTGTTATATATCAGCTGGGAAAGTAGTAACTCAAAAACTTTATTATAAACAATGAGATTTATTATAATTTTTAAGTATTGATCAATTTTTATATTTAATAGTAATTAGAAATTAATTTTTATATTTAATAGTAAATAGCAATTAATAGTAATTAAAATACGATTTTTTATTATTAATTAATTATTAGATTATCTTAAATCGATTTTCTCTTTAATTAATTTTATTAATCACTCTTTATTATTACGTCTATTGTTGATTGACAGCCACATCCACCAATCAGAGAAACAGATTTATATTTTCTACGAAGCTCCTAATTTTATTTTAGAACGTCAACCAAAAATATTTTACTTTTTAAAATTAAATTTTTAAAAAAATGTAAATTAATTTATTAAATTTTTTTTTTGGAATTTGACATTTTAAAGAATGAAACCAATTACTTTCTTTCTTAAAAAAATAATAAATTTAGTTACTATTATTTTTTTTTTTGGAGATTTTTTTTTCTTATCAGAATGATATGGTCTTTATATTAAATGAGATATAATAATTTGTAAGAGAAATTATTTTTTTTTGTAGTTATGGAGTTAATCTTCAATTATGTGATTTTATTTTTGCAGAAAAAAAATTATCGCTTCATTAAAATGCCAATGATGCATTCAACTGAAATAATAATAAAAACATCGACTTGCATCGATAAAAACTAATTCAGGTGATTTTTAAGGTGTTTTTTTTTGTTTATTTTTTTTAATAAATAGTTGCTGAAATTATCATATTGATATGAAGCGAAAAATAAATATTTTTAAATTAGGTATGGGATTATACAGTGATGAACAGACTGTTTTTCAAATACCCTTCTGATTTATTAATTTATTACTGATTTTGCCAGGCTTGTAAGAAGTTCAATAATGCTATTTTTGACTAGTAATTTTGTCTGGTAGAGTGTTAAATTCTCTCGCTTAGTGCTATGTACTATTCAACCTATTAATGTTTTTGTCTACTGTTATTATGTTATATATTTATAATAAACTTATTAATTTAGTGATCCTATTTACATTTCATCACTGTATAATGTTCCTGCTTTACAGAAAATTTAATTAATTCTCCTGTATCTTAGAAAAACTATTAGTGATCTGGTCTACTATTGCTGAATGGTAGATTTCTAGAATTCTATTAATGCTCCCTGTTTGCTTCTGCTTTTAATTAGTGCTCCCGCCAATTGCTTTGCTTAGTAGACTATAGTCCAAGCAGCCAAAGAATAGACCTGAGTCAGCTTGAGTTGGAAAAGTCTATGTCAAATGAAAGGGATGGGAAGAGACATAGGGAAGTTAACACATGGATCTGATCTCTTTCAGCTATTGTTTTTACAAATTTTATTACTGATTCATCCACTTGTCTCCTTCCATCCCTTTCATCTGATATAGACCTTTCCAACTCATCTGGTTTATGTCTATTCTTTCGCTGCGCGGACTATAATTAGTTATCAATAAGTGTTGCTGTTTATGTTCTTGACAAGTGTTCTTACCTAATATATTTATTAGTAAACCTGTTATTGCACTTTAGTGGCTAATAATCCATTAGACAAGTGTACTTCAGAGTAGTATTGATAGTTCATGTACCTCCTAAGTTAACTACTAAAGAATCACTTGAACTACCGATAAGAAGTCAAGATGTGTACTAAGAAGCACAAATATTTCGCTAGTGAAATTTACTAATATTTTCTGTTTATGATAAAAACCAAACATTTTAGTACAGTATATTGGTCAGGTTTTCCAGTTCAAATAAAAATTTACATATCAATTTATCCAAGAGTTAAATATGACAAATCTCACTCGAAATGTTGATTTAGTAAATGTAAATGTAACGTCAGCAAATATATTATTTGACTTTACGACCTCGAAAATATATTGCTTAGAATAAACGATTATAAACGTCGAAATTAATAATTTTACTTCCTGTAATCGCAATATCGAAATGAATTATCACACGACTGCTTTTCTTCGAAGGTTATTTTCAACCTGTAGATCGCGACTTCCGAGCCATTTTTCTTAATTTAAAATAACATAAAAAATTGTTTTTTTCTTTGAGAAGGAAGCAAGAACGATTAAATTCGCATAAGGTAATTAAAATTAGATAATTTACTAGCATTTTGTAGCTCGAAAGATCAGAAAATATAGATCGACAGACAGACATGAAGTACCAATATAAAAGTGCTTTTTTTACGAATAAACTACTTAATAACATCATTATCTAGTAGATTAATTATATTATACAATTAATTAACGTTATCTCATTGAGGAAGAGTCCCAAAATCCCTTTTAAATGAACATAAGTCATTAAAGATAGATTGACAATTATTGCAGATAAATCTATTTTGCCTCCCTCTATTCATTTATTTTAGTGAACAGTAACGATAATTATGTACAACTGACTTGTCAGTTCAGTTAACTTAATAAAACCAAAAGCCAGTTTGACCTAATTTCTCACAATAGGACACATTCAACTAAACTTGGTCCTGGAATCTAGTGATTACTATAGATTCGATTCCCATATTGTTCTCAATCATATTCTAACCATTTGTGGTGTGTACGTGGTTTCTAGTGGAGCAGTTTAAATTACTGTCTGTGTGACGCGTTAATTAATTACATAAAATCGATAAAATATAATTTTATCAACATTTTATTAATTAATTTGATTAAAAACTATCTGATAAGTATACTACAAAAACTGGTGTACATCATACACACATAAGNGTTATGGAGTTAATCTTCAATTATGTGATTTTATTTTTGCAGAAAAAAAATTATCGCTTCATTAAAATGCCAATGATGCATTCAACTGAAATAATAATAAAAACATCGACTTGCATCGATAAAAACTAATTCAGGTGATTTTTAAGGTGTTTTTTTTTGTTTATTTTTTTTAATAAATAGTTGCTGAAATTATCATATTGATATGAAGCGAAAAATAAATATTTTTAAATTAGGTATGGGATTATACAGTGATGAACAGACTGTTTTTCAAATACCCTTCTGATTTATTAATTTATTACTGATTTTGCCAGGCTTGTAAGAAGTTCAATAATGCTATTTTTGACTAGTAATTTTGTCTGGTAGAGTGTTAAATTCTCTCGCTTAGTGCTATGTACTATTCAACCTATTAATGTTTTTGTCTACTGTTATTATGTTATATATTTATAATAAACTTATTAATTTAGTGATCCTATTTACATTTCATCACTGTATAATGTTCCTGCTTTACAGAAAATTTAATTAATTCTCCTGTATCTTAGAAAAACTATTAGTGATCTGGTCTACTATTGCTGAATGGTAGATTTCTAGAATTCTGTTAATGTTCCTGTTTGCTTTTGCTTTTAATTAGTGCTCCCGCCAATTGCTTTGCTTAGTAGACTATAGTCCAAGCAGCCAAAGAATAGACCTGAGTCAGCTTGAGT